GGAGGAGCAGCCTGCTGCCCGCGCTGCCCGGATCCAGGAGTGAGTCTCGGCCGGCTGCCTCTCAGCAGGGTCAAAGGAGAGGAACCATCTCTCCGGCTCCAGGACAACTGCACAGCCAGTCGCCCGCCGAGGCTGGAGCCGGCTGCTCGCCACACAGAAGTGACTCGGAACCGGGCCAGAGGTCTGCACGTCAGCTAAGACGATGGCATTCTCAGATGGGGACGGAGAGGGGACACCTCTGAGACCTTGGGTCAGGCAGTGGTCTTGTAGCGAGAGACCAAGAGAGTTACACACTCGACTAAAAATGGATTAACTGGGGCCCTCCTGGGGGCGCAGCGGGATGACGCGCAGCACTAAGAAGCCAAAGCCACTTCTGCATGAGTCCGATCCCCGCCCCAGAGGTGACCCCCAGGGCACAGCAGGCCTCTCCTGTCTCCCCTCTGCTCCCCTCAGCAGTGGGTTTCAGTGGATCCGCCTGTTCTGCTCCCCACTGTCTCATGAATCCTCTCACACACACACCCCTGCTTTGCCTGTACCCCAGCTCTCATACACAGAAAAAAAACAAAAAACCCTTTTACAACTTAGTACCAAAAAGGTAAATGTCCATGTAAACAACAGAAAATTTTAAAAGATATTTCTCAGGCAAAACCCATAAAAAGGTCTAATAAGCACATAGAAAAATGCTAAACATTAAAATATTTACTTATGCACACAAGAGCTGGGGTGCCGGCCAGAGGCACGAGAGACAGAGGGGAGCAGAAGAGGCAGATGGAGCAAGTACACCGCTGAGGGGAGCAGCGGGCGGGCCGGGAGAGGCTGCCGCGCCCGGGGTCACGGCCGGGCCGGGCCCAGCCCTGCAGACAGCGGTCAGCGTCACAGAGCGGCGAGCTTTAACCTGTTGCGCCACCAGGGAGGGCCTGACCTCAGAGATTTTACCGCAGACTAAACCGATTCCTGCTCGCAGTATCCACTTTCAGGTCACTTATTTCACCAACAAAAGCTCAGTGAAAGCCCCTCCCGGCCCGGCGCTGGCCGGCGTCCGTGGCCTTTACGCCTCGGGCACACTGCGGCACTCTGGGGGGACAGGAACTCGGTCTCCCCGCCCTGGGCCCCGCGCTCTTGCGCTGACCCAGGCTGAGAGCCCCCGGGCCGTCCAGGCCTGGACGCGCCCTCTGCCCCGAGCCAGCACCGCGAAGGGAGTGAGGGAGGAGGCCCGTTCTCCTGAGGGACGGTGAGGGGCTGTCGCGTCCTGCCAACCGCTGAACCGTCCGTTTGCCCAGGGCCGCTAAACTCTCCCTGGCGCTGCCCTGTTCGTGACCTTCCCGGGGACTTCACTGCTGGGGGGCCAGCACCCAGAAGACAGAGCTGACAGTCTGGGCGGCCCCAGTTCCCTGCCACTGAGCCGCGAGCTGACCAGCTGGACGCGTTTCTTTTTCCAGCCCCTTGTGGACTCTACCTGCCAGGAGCCCCCGGGGTGGGGGGTCTGGCGCAAGCCCTGGGGAGCTGGTGCGGCGGGGGAGTAGAGCCGGACCTCTGCGCAGACCCAAGGCTGGCGCCTCCCGGTTACACCCCGACACCCCAAAGCCCTGCGTCCGCCGCGCTCCCACGTCCAGAGCTTCCCACTGGCCTGGTCCGCGCCGCCGCTGGACACGCGCGGTCTGTGCTGTTTATTTTAACTTGAGACTCAGCGG